ATCACTCCCCGGCCACAGGATCATCAATGCAGAGAAATCTGAGTTCAATGAGGATCAGGCAGCCTGTGGGAAACTGTGTATCAGACGCTGTGAGTTTGGAGCGGAGGAAGACCAGGAGTGGCTGACTGTGTGTCCAGAGGAGGTAAGTGTTGGCCTGCCTGCAAACGGAGGAGGCACAAGCCAAGATGCTCGCCCTTCTGCAGGCAGAGCTAGGGGACAGCTGGAGAAGCCAACCAGGGCCTGACGCCAAGCCCTTCCTGTGCAGTTCCTGATTGGTCATTACTGGGCCCTGTTTGATGGGCACGGTGGTCCTACTGCAGCCATACTGGCTGCCAACACCCTGCACTCGTGCCTGCGCCGGCAGCTCGAGATCGTGGTAGAAAGCATAATGGCCTCGCAGCCTCCCATGCACCTCAGTGGCCGCTGCATCTGCCCGAGTGACCCCCAGTTCGTGGAGGAAAAGGACATCAAGGCAGAAGACCTGGTGGTCGGGGCCCTGGAGAATGCCTTCCAGGAGTGTGTGAGTGTGGTCTTGGGCCGGGCGGGGGTGGGCGGTGGGAAGTTTCAGGGGATGGGGGAGGGACCTGAAGGAGCTGGGAGTGGTGTGCACTGTGGTGACCATCACAGATCTTTGGGCTGGAAGGACAAGGCTGGGGTGATTGGTTCCTCATGTCCGTAGATGTCATCCCTCCTCATGTGGCGCCTGCTGGGTGTGGAGCACTTTTACCTGCATTGTTGTTGCACGACCTGTGGTCTTTGATGCAGGGGCTGGTTTCCCTTCCTGTTTTGAATAGCACTTCTCTTGTCTAGATCTTGTGGCTACAGGGAGATCCCTGGAGTCATGACTGGTCGTGGGGTTGGGATGGCCAGGCCTGCAGGTGGCAAGGGAACTGTCAGGCAGGGCAGAGTGGGACAGAGGCAGTCTGCCCAGAACCTAAAGGGGACTTGGTTTGCTCCAGGATGAGGTGATTGGGCGAGAGCTGGAAGCCTCAGGCCAGCAGGGTGGCTGCACTGCGCTGGTGGCCGTCTCTCTGCAGGGCAAGTTGTATGTGGCCAATGCTGGGGATAGCAGGTGAGTGCATCTCTACAGAGTGGGCAGCAGTCATGGGCTGTGAGGACAGTGCAAAGTGACTAGATGAGGAGGGATAGGAATTGGGAGGGTTGTGTTTGATGTTTGCACATGTCAGGTGAGGGCTAACAGTGGTCGTCAGGGCAGGGACCTTGGCTGAGCCTTTTAGGTAGATGCTGGGCAGTCATGGCCTTGGGCGAGTGTAGGGACTACCTAATAGAGACCTCCCCTGCCCAGGGCCATCTTGGTGCGGAGAGATGAGGTTCGCCCACTGAGTTCTGAATTCACCCCAGAGACAGAGCGGCAGCGGATCCAGCAACTGGTAGGTGCCCTTGGCAGGGGAAGGCTGTGGAGCTGCAACTCCTGGGGTCTACACGGGGCCACAGGAGGCAGGCTGACCAGAGCATGGCTGCTCACCCCAGGCCTTTGTCTACCCTGAGCTTCTGGCCGGTGAGTTTACCAGACTGGAGTTCCCTCGGCGGCTGAAAGGAGATGACTTGGGGCAGAAGGTTTTATTCCGTGATCACCACATGAGTGGCTGGTGAGCCTGGTGGGGTGGAAGGTTGGGGTGGGGAGAGCCCTGGGGTCTAGGCCCAGCTGTGTCACCCGGGGCAGTGATGTTTCACCTGGGCAGGGTAGCTTAGCTGGGCCTGGGGCTTGGGATCTTGGCTAATGCTGCATTACTCCTGCTAGGAGCTACAAACGCGTGGAGAAGGCAGACCTCAAGTATCCACTAATCCATGGTCAGGGCCGGCAGGTCAGTATCTAGCCCCCTTCAAGAATTCTCTAGTTGCCACCTTAGGCCTTTTGCTGGACCTGTTTGCCATCACCTCATGCCTTCCCTGCCCCCAGGCTCGATTACTGGGCACACTGGCTGTCTCTCGGGGCCTAGGAGATCATCAGCTCAGAGTCTTGGACACCAACATCCATCTTAAGCCCTTCTTGCTCTCCATCCCACAGGTGAGGGGACCATATGGTCCATTCTGGCTTCCATTTGCCCAGAAAGGCAGGCAGTGAGGCTGTCGGGAGCCAGGAAAGGGGCGCTGAAAGATCCTCAGGCTTAACTTGCAGGTGACTGTGCTGAATATGGACCAGCTGGAGCTCCAGGAGGAGGATGTGATTGTCATGGCAACCGATGGACTTTGGGATGTCCTGTCCAATGATCAGGTGGCACGGCTGGTGAGAAGCTTCCTCCCTGGAAACCAGGATGACCCGTACAGGTACCGTAGCTCCCAGGAACCCTTCTGGGCTTGGGAACTAGTAGCAACACCAAGTAGTTAGGGCTGGGAAGACTAGTGCCAAGGGGCCTCGATTGGTGGTCAGGACCTGGCTTTTCTCCTGCTTTCTCGGGAGGACTGGGTTCCCCATTATGTCGTCCTCCCAGGCTTGTTGCTGTCTGGTCCACAGATAGTATTTTTTTATTTCCAGCTGCTCAGTTCTCCCAGGGGGCTGGCTTTTGTCTCTTGGTTCTTCCCTTTGAAGCACACAATGGCCTTTGCAGGTTTTCCGAGCTGGCCCAAATGCTGATCCACAGCACGCAGGGGAAGGAGGACAGTACCACGGGGGAAAGGCAGGTGTCCTACGATGACGTCTCCGTGTTTGTGATACCACTGCACACCAAGAGCCAAGGAAGCAGTGGCCACTGAGGACTCAGAATGTGTCCCGGTACTGTTCCAGGGCCACATGTGGTCTGTCTGCCCTGTTCTGGCACAGCCCTATATCCCTGCCATCCACCCCAATTAATACTCACTACAAGGAGAAACATACCAGACAGATAGAGTTGGCAGGGTCTGGCCTTCTGTGGGGACATTCCTCTGGAGGTGAAACTGAATGCAGGTCTCCTCAAACAGGCTCTTCCACGGCCCCACAGCAGGATTCTCAGGTAGGGAAACCCAGATTAAGGTAATAAACTTGAGATGCCAGGAGGGGCAGCCAGCCCATTTGGACTCAAGTCTTCAAGCCATGAATAATACCAAGGCATCTGTACAACCCCCCGAGGACCACGCCAGTGCCTCAGGGAAATCTACGGACATCTGCTACAACAGCCATCATAAAGGCAGTCCCTAAGGAGACGAGCTCAGGTCTCACCCTGCCTTCCTCTGCCACTAGAGGCAGGGCACAAACACTGGGGCTGTGGCTAGCAGGGAACAAAAGGGGCAAGAGTTCCTAGAATTGGTTGGTAGAGAAGTGCAATGTGGTCACTTCTACTTTGACCCAACTGGTTGCTTGTCCCTGGCCCTAGCAATGACTCTGCTTTGTTGCACCCCATCCATCACTTCTATTATTAAATGTTTATATACAAAACAGCCCTTGTGGATCATGAATTGATGTACAGCTGGATTCAGAACACCTTTGCCATTTATCACCTTCTAGTGGGTCACTGTGCCGAAAATCAGAGCTATGTCTTCTCTCAGTTCTCAGCCCCAAGAATGGAAAGGAGGTCTCTAGCCAACCACTGGTGAGCACCAGACTTCTGGTTACACCCCTTTCACTTTTGAATGCAAGAATCTATAAAGCTAGACTTAAAGTTATTTGTTGACTATATGGCAAAAATGCATCAGGTCTTCAACTGTTCTGCCTCTTTCCACACTCACCCAGTTTACAATTAAGGTGAAATCTTATTTGGCAATTGACAGCCTTAGACTACAGTGGGGCACAAGATCCATGAGTGCATGGATGCAGGAGGGCTGCCCCTCACCCAGTCTGTTAGCCCATGGACTGAGGATCTGCATCCTTGTTTTGTGTGGGTGCTCAACATGCTTGATTTCATCATCCTGGGCTCCATGGTCATTGGACGAGAAGTGACCAAACAGGCTTTCCTTCTAGGTCTGCCCGAAAAGGTGATGGTATGTGAAGTAAATGAGCCAAGTGGAGTCGTTTTGGCACTGGAAGACCTGTGCTGCCCCTTTCAAATGTTGCCATTCAGCAACACACTCAGTTGCCCAGGCATCACATACACTTTCAGGCATACACTTCCTCCTTCCTCAGCACAGTTGTGTGTGTGGGCAACATGCAGTGCCTTTTACACAAGTCAGCTGCTGAGCCATCTCCCCCACAGTAGGCCTCCTACTGACCTATCTACTTTTTGCTCTAAGTCGAGGAACAGGTGCCAGGTGCACTGTAGGTCTTTTGATTTCAAGTAGGCCAACAACTAGAGTGGCTGCTACAAGAGCACAGGTGAGGGTGTCTTTATCCTTGAAAAAACATTTTTTAGATAAGCCTATGCCCAGTGTACCATACAGAGCCAGGGCCCATGATGTTCCCTCTGCCATCTGTCAGTATCCCTCACCAAGCTCCAATGACCTGGCACAAAGTGGTATGCTTAAGGCTTCCTCTCTTGTTTTGGAGAGCCAGAGAAGAGGCAGGAAGCAGGTTCTGAAGCTCTGAGGATAATGAGTAATGAGTTGCAGATTCCAGCAATTACAACTCACCAGCCAGGCCATGGCTTGCCAAGCATTGTGGCTAAAATCTCCTACCAGGTCTCAGATAGGAATCCCAAGTAAGAGGACTCATAGTCCTTGCCCTGCAGAAGCTAGGGCCTAGCAGGACAAAACTTATTCCAGCTAGAGGTTGCCAGTTTGATCAGGAACTGAGGTCAACAGGGAGACCAATGTATATGCCAGATAGGTTTTGAAAATCAAGGTTGGCTCAGGCCTACCTTCCTGTGACTTCTGGGCCTATGGCTATTTATTACAGCCTGGAGTCACATGCTGGGCACAGGGTCTAGGACTTCCTTCTCCAGCCCATGGGACTTCATCACTGATTCAGTAAAGGGATATCCCTGGAACCGAACAATCCATTCTCACTGCATTTCAGCAGAATGCTGCAGAATGGAATACAACACACTCCTCCTGCAGCTCTGGGAACCAGGCACACAGTGCCACAGAGACCTCAATGGAAGAGCTGCGACCATAAAACCACTAAAGACCGGTAACATGGAAAAAAATGTTTATATGTTAAGTACAAAAAGGACATAAAATTGTATTTACAGCAGATAATAACTATGTAAACACACCAGGAATCTATGCACAGAAAGGTCTAGAGGAACATTTAACACCAAAAGATTAACATTGGTAGCATTTGGGTGGCCAAGTGATTCTTAGAGTTCCCAAATTTTCTTTAATAAGCAGTAATTACGATTGCAAGGGAGAATCATGTGTAAAAAAATACTTGACTGGCTGGTGGTAGGGTAGTGCAGTGTTGCTCTCATACAAAGCAATGGTTTTGGCCCTGACTCTGACGGAGGGTGGTAAGCAGACCCTCCTCCTCCAGGAAGGCCTGGGCACCTCTGGCTCCCACTGAGAGCAGCCCTATGGCCCCAGGTGTTTGTTACTTTCCTCCCTTCCTCCACCTTACCCAGCTCCATTTTGTTCTTTTCAGTCAACTCCAGAGCCAGCTTTGCAGCTCCATGGTTCAGGAATTGCTGTGAGGTGGCATGTCAGCTTTGGACGCATCACACACCTCCTGCTGGGCGACTCGTGTATGGTGGTGACTCTGGCTGCACATGTGTAAGTCCCACAGCCTTTCCTGTTAACGCAATCTGTGAACGGCTATTCTTAGCCTGAATTTTCTATCCTGAAAAGCTGCAAGTAGGCAGTTAATAGCTGAGTTTGTGGTTTCTTCAAGTCCCTCCACTGGCGTCTCAGTGGGTGGTACTGTGGCAGCTCCAGATTTCCAGGCTACAGTAGAAAAGGTGTACGCCTCTTGCCCTTTCAATCTAGGGAACAACTCAAAAACTAATTGCTTAAAAAAAGAAAAAGTGCTATCAATTCACAACCTATCCCTGCTGCTCAACAGAGGCAGGGATGGCTGTTTTAGCCCCTAGTAACTATGCAATCTTGGGCAAGTCACAGCCTTGTTGAAATCTCCTTCTGGATCTACAGGGACTGCTGCCTGCACACGTTTGCTTGGGAACACTGGGAAATAACATGTGCTGCTCTGCTCTAAGGCCAGGCAGGGAAGGAAAAGGCCATGGGCTAGCTGTAGTTCATCTCAACTTTGGCCTGGCTAGATCCCCTTGATGTCCCAAAGAGAAAACAAGGAATTGCTGGGAAAGGGGAACCGGGGAAAGGGGAGTGACCTGCAACCGGCAAGGAAACTTCAAGCAAACTGAAAATGCTCTGCTTCCAGCGTCCTGTTCTCAAATGCCAGAAGCCAAGAAGCAAGAGTGACTGCCACACACAGGCAGACAGCACTGCCAGGCAAAAGGGGGCTAATACTGCAGGGAGAGCCCCAAAGTGCGGCTTGAGGAACACTAGGGAGTTGTCCCAAGACCCTCACTTAGCTGCCATGGAAACAACAAACACTCGAAGTTTTGTCAAGTCTCCCAAAGGTAAGTAGGTAATAAGGAAGACTTACTAACACTTGTGGCAAACACTGTTAGCAAGGACACAGCCTTTCTCCCAGGTTGCAGAACTCCAAAAACTACATATATACATACATATATATATATGCACAAACACACATAGATGCATCTATGTATGTGTACAGGTGGATTTAAGTGAAGGTGCATATACTGTGCTAAAATACAAACAGAAATCAAAGGTCATATATAAAAAGGCTAAATAGAACATAACACAGGCTTAAAACCAGCTCTGGACTGGGTCCTGGGGCAAGGGTGGTCTCATCTAGAGACTACATACACAATTTGTGGTGAGCAGGGAAGGCATCAGTGTAAACAACTCAGACTCACTCCACAATACTGGCCCACAGGAAAGCGTGATGTAGCTCATGTACAAAACATAGATGAGGACCTTGCTTTTGTACAAACCGAGCACAGTAGGCACCCAGAAGATTGTGGGTTTGTCTTGAAAGGGACTATACCAAGCTGCTGCTAAATCTCCCACCAAGCCCATCCTCTTCCTTCCCTTTTAGGATCTTAGACCCTTTCCAACCCAACACTCAGGGCTCAGAGTCTTCCCATCCATCTCCACACTGCAAAGCATTCCTATCTGTCCCTTTCACTGACCTCAAGATATATGAAGACTTATTCCTGTAAATGTTTGGCACCAAAGAAACATGATGCTTGTGGAATAATGCCACAATTACACAGGGAGATCCAGTAACAAGACATGCAGGGGGAGGTGAAGGGGCATTGAGCTGCACTAGCATCTCAAAACCAGAACTGTAGCTTCCCATGCATTCATGGGGGTGACAGAGGGATGTGCAGAACTGACGACCCCACCGGCTCCTCAGCAGCAAATACATTCACAATAGAAGGCGCCTCAAGAGCCCCCACGATACCCTAACCATGAGTCTGGCCACTCCTCCAGTGACAGCTGGAAAAGCTGCATCTCAAAGGAGTCTGCTGCACCAAGAATGCTTCTGAAGAACCTCAGCAAAGTGACTCCCTTTTGAGCAGATGTGCAGCACTTTCATGGGGAGGCCATGTGAAAAGATGTTCTCCAGCCCAGTCAGATGATTCGGTCCTACTATTATCTCAGTCCCCTCTGAGTTTTTGTTTGTTTTTTATTCCTGCTGGTCACCATCACTGTACAGAAAGAGCCACGCTGCATCAGGATCAGTCATCAATGGTTGGCAACCAGAAGGCCTGCAAAAAGAACGTAAGTCCACTTTAAAAAGCTCAGCAACTGCACACAGCTGAAGGTTCTTCATACTCCACCCCGCACATCATAGTACACAACCCCAGTGGTGGAGGACTTGTGGCCTGATGACCCTCCTGACCAACTGACTGATAATCTATGGCTAAACAAACACTCTACCCATGAAAATAAGCTGGTTCTGTCTCCCTCTAGCATTCACTGTCCACTGTCCAATACAGGCTTCATGTCAAAGGGAAAAATAAGTGTTGCTGGGGAGGGGGCTGTCTGCTGATGCATCCCCTTATCTCAACAAGACCTTTCCCTCTGAGACATAACAATGGGAGACCGAATTTCTTCTGAAATGGGGAGGGGACAGTGTTCTCTGGGTAGACTAGTAATGGAATGCCTCATTCTCAAATACCCAGGTACATTTTTTTTAGAGGGTCCAAGAAAACTAGAAAACTAGAAGTAAAATTCACTGATTCCTTGGTTTGCTGGTTAAGTCCACCCAGAAAGAGATAAGAGATTGTTAACATAAGAGTTAACAATCAACTGTAAGAATTACTGAGCAATTCAGTATATACTAAAAGGAATGGAAAGTTCAAGTCTCTAGCCACACCAGGTTAATTCAGAATATGTTAAGGAGTAAAATAACTACCATGTATAGTGTAAGTGATTGATTTGAACCCAAATCTATAGTACCAAAAAAAAAAAAAAAAAAAAGGGCAAGTAATCGGGCAACTTTAGAGGTGATCCTGACCATGAGAAGTGAAAGGCCAGCCCAAACAAAGAACACAAATGGGAGTCAAACTGAGGAAGCCACCAGTTGAAAAGTGAACTTGGGTGCTAGTCAAGTGCCTATGTGGAATAAGCTTTCTCTGCTTGCTGAGAGAACTACCATCCCAACTGGAAAGAGTCCTTTGTGGAAGACACTTGTCATTCACATACCATGTTGGAACATGCGCTGGCAAAGGTCATGAATTTGGGGTTGAACTGCAAACAGGTAATGGGGCCTGTGTGTTTACCATCCAACACAGCTACTTTTATACCACTCTCTCCATTCCAAACATGAATCTTGCCATCCTCTGAACCTAGAAGGTGATCAAAGAAAAATTTAAAGAGTTCAAGATACAACACAGATAACTTGGAAATAGACTTAATTTGAGGCCTGAAGATAAACCAAGGACCCAGTCCTCAGTAACAACTGAAAGAAGAGACAGTCATGGAAAATGTTTCAGGATTTAATTTTGGTCCTGCTTATTTGAGCATAGGCAAGTCACTCTCCCCCTAACTTTAGTTTTCTCATCTTAAAAGGGGGGAAGGGAGGGCCCAGTGTGATAGCCTAGTTGTTAAATCCTCGCATCTGCTGAGATCCGATATGGGCGCCAGATTGTGTCCCAGATACTCCACTTCCCTTCCAGCTCCCTGCTTGTGGCTTGGGAAAGCAGTAGAGGATGGCTCAAAGCCTTGGGACCCTGCACCTGTGTGGGAGACCTGGAAGAAGCTCCTGGCTTCAGATCGGCTCAGCTCTGGTTGTTGTGACCACTTGGGGAGTGAACCAGTGGACAGAGGCTCTTTCTTTTTATACCTCCTTCTCTGTAAATCTGACTTTCCAATAAACAATAAAATAAATTTTCAACATAAACTAACAGGGTGGAGAGAAGAGGCATTGTGGCAGAGCTAGTGAAGCTGTGCCAGGGACAGTGGATCCATCAGAGTGCCAGTTCTACACCATTTCTAAACCTGTTTGCTGCTGATGTGCCTGGGGGAGGGGGTAGCAGATGATGGCTCATATGTTTGGGTCCCTGTCACCCTCCTGGCTTCAGCCCAGCACAACAGTGGCTATTGTAGGCATTGGTTCTTAGTTGCGCTGCCTTTCCAGCAGATGAAAATAAGCACTTTTGGGAAAACAAATTACAGACAAAGGGAATGATATCATTGCCCTACCAACATCTAGCTACTAAGAGGACTGAATGCAGAGTTATAGCAGGAACTCAGTATCCCTAACAAGGCAGTGCTTGTACAGATAAACGCTGGTCTAGGGAAGATCAATACTCATGCCAGTTCAACTGGAGAACCCCACAGTCAGGGCAGGCTGAAGATGCCATGTTCATGGCATAATGTGCTACACAAAAGCCTGAAAATATCCAAACAAATGCTATTATTTAGCTTAAAATAAATCTTTAAATTAAAACATTAATTTGAAAGGCAGATTTATAGAGAGGGAAGAAACAAGAGAGATCTTTCATCCACTGATTCATTCTCTAAAAGGCCACAACAGCTAGAGCTGGGCTGGTTCAAAGACAGGAACTTCTTCCAGGTTTTCCAGATGGGTGCAGGAACCCAAACACCTGGGCCACCTTTTTGCTGCTTTCCTAGGCAGTTAGGGAGCTGGATAAGATGTGAAACAGCTGGAACTCGAACCAATAAACCCTTATGGGATGTTGGCAATGCAGGCAGAGGCTTAACTTGCCACACCATGACACTGGCCCCCTAGCTTAATGTTAAACAACCAAATGCATAGTACCAGAGAAATGATGCCAAGGGGAATAACGGAAGCTCACCAATCATAATAAACTGAGAGTCGGGAGTAAATGAAGCCTCCAGGGTGACAGCTTTGCTGTTGGCATAACCCTGAAACAAAACAGAGCATTTCTCTTGCTGTTATAGGGCCATTAATAAAAGATGCCTAGAAACAATGAAGGAGCATACAACAAATCACTTTTTCCATGAAACTCTCATTGTCATGCACAATACTATCAAAGTTCCAAACATGGCTGACCCCCTTACGTTCAAACCATTATCTTCCATAGCCAAGGAAGCAAGAAAACTGTTGTTAGGAAGAGATTTACATTTAAACACCAAATCTAGATTACCTGGTGATTAATGGATGTCTTAGAATCCAAAAGGAAGAAGTTCAGAAAGCACAGGGAGAAAATGCGAGCCCATGCCTTGACTGCTGAGTCAAAGGCAATGGCTGGTTTACACTCCTGGCTAGCAGTTCTCAGCCCCAGAGGTTATGAGCACACAAACAGCCAGATTTGAAGGTTAGCTCACCCCAAACGTGTGCATCACCACTCCTTTGAATGCATCAATCAGACGGATGAAGCTGCCATTGGTGGAGATGAGAATGAGCTTGCCATCATTGCTGAACTTAAGTCCCGTCCATTCACACGTCCGATCGTATTGCATCTTAAAAGTTGCGAATGGCCCCTGCAAAATGATAACTCCAGACCTAAGGCATATTAAGAATTCTTTTCTTCAGGACCAACTCCTATCCCTGTAAGTTCACTTTTGGATAGGAAAGCAAAGGATCAGCTGGTGCTCTGTCACGCTAATAAGCTACTATATATTTTAAAATTTCTACCTCACCCTAACAATTCCTATAATATCAAGATAAATCAAATATTCAAAGATTTACCTTATCAAAAGAACGAAGGTCATAAAGTTTAACCATTTCAGAGTTGACACCTGCTGCAAAAATTAACCCTTCTGGATCAAAAGAACAAACTGGCTTGCCCTGTAGATGCATGAGGCCCTACAAGAAAAGAAAATAATGAATGCTGTCATTATATAATTTGCTTTTCCAAGTGAAAGTTTAAGAAGGGATATGAAAGATACCAGTCTACCTATTGAACAGAAAAGGCAATTAAAATTTAAAATTAAGCTTTCAAAAAGTCAGACAACAGATTTGCAGTCAATCCTAACAAAAACAACAAAAGGCTCTTGGCAAATTATTTTTTAAAAATTAAGTCAAAATGTATTACAATATATGCTTACTAGCTAACCACAAGGAAAACTGGTTTTCTCCCATGTTTAAAATGACTGTGGAATCCCAGAATAGAACCACTGCTTTCTTCTTTAAGAGAAAGAGATGATAATACTGACAACCACAGAAAATGCTGAAAAAGTTTAACTGTGAGGTAACATTACCTGGCAGTTAGGAGACCGGAGATCCCAAAGTCGAATAGTCTTATCAAGAGACCCGGAAATGAAAGTATCATCCACAGGTGACATAGACAAAGCTACCACTCTGCAATGTATCAAAGCAAACAGCAAAATGACCACAAACTGGATGTGAACTCTAAACCCCATGCCTACCTACATGCACCTGCTCTCTGAAAACTGCAAATTTTTTTAAAAAAAGATAAACTTTAATCATTCTCCAAAATGGCTGCAACGGCTGGAGCTGAGCTGATCCAAAGCCAGGAGCCAGGAGCTTTTGCAGGTCTCCTATGCCAGTGCAGAGACCCAATGCTTTGGGCTGTCCTCTCCTGCTTTCTTAGGCCATAAGTAGGGAGCTGGATGGAAGTAGAGCAGCTGGGAAAGGAACTGGCAGGGAGTTAGCTATTGAGCCATCATGCTGGGCCCTCAAAACTGCCATATTAAGAAACAAAGCAACCACCAGCATAGGCATAAGGTGGGGCAACAGACTGTGCTGGACTGTCCAACTAACTGCTGATCCCAGAACCCCAATCATGAAGAGAATTGCAGGTTCCATGGTCTGACCATGGAGTGCATTTGTCAAAACTGAGCCTCCTCAGAGGCTCAGACAGAACAGGAGACAGCATATCCAAGCACACATGGGGGAAATGGTGGTCCATCGGAGCTTGCAGGGGACACCTGGTACCGCAACAGAGGACAGATGACAGAACAAATGAATCATTTGCCCCAGACATGTTTGGCAGTGAAAATCTGGGCCATCGGAGACCCTAAGGTGGACTATGTCAGCCAGTGGATTCTGGAGAGATTTCATCATACTTGGAATGGCAAGGCTGTCAATTCAGAACTGTTGAACTATTGAAACCACGTGAGCAACACCCTAGGAGCATGCCCCATGTGTTGGTGACCCTGGGATGGGGTGGGAGGTTGAGTGGGGATTCTCCCTTTATCTCCCTCCTTATCCCAGATACACACACACCAAAAAATATGGAAACAATGTTCTTACCCACTTTCCTGTAACCCTTGACCCTTTGTGCCCTGATAAACTATCTAAAGATTATGGAAAAAAAAAAAAGAAAAAAAGAAAGAAAGAAAGAAAAAGCAAGCATTGAAACATTTATCTTCTCCATCCCGATCACAGGCCCATGTGGGTCTGCCACTCACTCAGCTTTGGAATAAATACAAAAATAAAAATTCATCTGCAAAAAAGACAATTTGTATAATGAAAAAAGCAACTTAAAGCCTTAGTGTAAATATATTTTAAAAGGAGAGGTAAGCAGTAATGGTAAGGATGCAGATGGTGGATAAACTGGAACCCTCATCCAATCCTGAAGGAAATGTAAAATGGTACAACTGCTCTAGGAAATATTTTCCAGAGAAAAACAAGATTCAAATTTCACTTTAGGTACATGCCCAAGAAAACTAAAACTATGTTTAAAAACTATGTTTACACACAATTTTATTATTCACAAGAGCCAAAGAGTAGAAAAACTCCAATGTCAATTAATGTGTAAACAAAATGTAATGTATCCATACAGGGGCCAATGTTATGGCTCAGCGGCTTAATCCACTGCCCAGGATCCCTGCTTCCAATTTTAGAATGCTAATTCGAGTCCCAGTTGCTCCACTTTCAATCCAGCTTCCTCCTAATGCACCTGGGAAGACAGTAAATTGGCCTGCCATCCATGTGAGAGACCCAGGAGGAGTTTCTGGCTCCTGCTTTTGGCTTGCCCCAGATATGGCCGTAATAACCAGCTGATGAGAAAATCAACAAGTGGGAAGATCTCACTCCTTCACTCTGTCTTTCAAGTAAATTAAAAAACCTTATCACCATCCCACCCAAATGCTATCTCTCATCATATAATGCAGTAGAATACTGACAATAAAGACATTTAAGTATTGATTCAAGAGAAAATACAGAGGAACTTACGAAACATGCTAAGCAAAAGCCAGACACAAAAGGGGATATAGTCTGATTCCATTTAAACAAAGTCTAAAAGAGACAACTCTTCAGAGACAAAGTAGATTAGTTGTTACCAAGGACTGGGGAAGTGACTGCTAATGGATATAAGGTTTCTCTTTGGGTTAATGAAAATATTATAGAATTAGATAGTGGTGCATAATTCTATGAATATACTAAAACCACTGAACTATATATTTATTTATTTATTTACTTATTTTTATTGGAAAGGCAGATAGAGAGAGGAGATAAAGATCCTCTGAATGTTGTCCCAAGTAGTCACAACGGCCAGAGCTGAGCTGATCTGAAGTCAGGAGCCAAGAACTTCTTCTGTTTTTCCTTCCCCTCATATGCTATCCTGTAAGACAGCTACCTGTTCTATAGTATTCATTTTCTTTGAAAGGCTGAAGACTGCATTATAACATCAGTTACAAATGAAAACTTCCTGATAAAACTGAAATAACTATGAAAAACATGCTGAGTGCAACAGACACATCATTTTATGCTATGGCATCTAGCATCAGAGCTCAGAGGTCTATCTTTCTTTTTTTTTTTTTATTTTTTTTTTAAAGATTTATTTTTATTATTTTTTCATTGGAAAGGCGGATATACAGAGAGGAGAGACAGAGAGGAAGATCTTCCGTCCGATGATTCACTCCCCAAGTGAGCACAACGGGCCGATACTATGCCGATCCGAAGCCAGGAGCCTCTTCTGGGTCTCCCACGCGGGTGCAGGGTCCCAAAGCTTTGGGCTGTCCTCGACTGCTTTCCCAGGCCACAGGCAGGGAGCTGGAAGGGAAGCGGGGCTGCCGGGATTAGAACCGGCGCCCATATGGGATCCCGGGCGTGCAAGGCGAGGACCTTTAACCACTTGCGCCACCGCGCCGGGCCCAAGGTCTATCTTTCTTTAAAAATAAAAAGATAATGCTGCGAAACTGGGCCAGGGTCAGACCCAAAAATGAAGGAGCAGGCAGATGCAGAAAGCCATGAAGGTTTTCTTTTTTTTCTTTTTAAAAAGATTTATTTTTATTATTTTTTCATTGGAAAGGCGGATATACAGAGAGGAGAGACAGAGAGGAAGATCTTCCGTCTGATGATTCACTCCCCAAGTAAGCGCAATGGCCGGCGCTGTGCCGATCCGAAGCTGGGAACCAGGAAACTCTTCCAGGTCTCCCACGTGGGTGCAAGGTCCCAAGGCTTTGGGCCGTCCTCCACTGCTTTCCCAGGCCACAAACAGGGAGCTGGATGGGAAATGTAGCTACTGGGATTAGAACCGGTGCCCATATGGGATTCCTGTTTGTTCAAGGCGAGGACTTTAGCTGCTAGGCCACGGCCCTCTCTCTATAATTCTGCCTTTCAAATAAATCTTCAAAAATTAATTAAGTAGGACTTAGTATGGTAGTCTAGTGACTAAAGTCCTTGCCTTGCATACACCAGGATCCCATATGGGCAGTTCATGTCCCAGCTTTCCACTTCCCATTCAGCTCCCTGCTTGTGGCCTGAGAAAACAGTAGAGGATGGCCCAATGTCTTGGGACCCTGCACCCATGGGAGACCCAGAAAAAGCTCCAGGCTCCTGGCTTTAGACAGGTTTAGTTTCAGTGTTGTGGCCACTTGGGAAGTGAACCAATGGAGGGAAGATCCTTCTCTCTCTAAATCCAACTCTGCAATAAAAACATTTAAAAAGAAAAAAATCAGAGAAATAAATAAAATTAACAAAAGGTTAAGATGCCTGCATCTGATACCACAATATATGGGTTCAATATCCTCTGGTCTCTGACTCTTGCTTCCAGCTAATGCAAACCCTCAGAGACAGTGGCAATGGCTCAAGTGTTTTCCTATCATCCAGGTGGATGACTCAGATTCAGTTCCTAGCTCCTGGCTTCAGCCAGCCCAGGCCAGCACCTGCTTCTGGGGAGTGAACCAGCAGATGGGAGCTAGCTCTAGCTCTCTATTAAATAAATAATTTTATACAAAAGCAATAAATAAATTTTCCTTTGTATCTTCATTATGTTCTTCTAACCGAGTATTTTTATATAGCGGTCTGTTGAAATGAAGACCAGCTACACTGGATGGACCTCATACATCCAATCTTCAATAAATAGTTTTTCCTAGACAATAATTAAAACTATAGAGCCTGGTGCAGTAGCGTAGCAGCTCAAGTCCTCGCCTTGCACATACCGGAATCCCATATGGTTACGAGTCCAGGTCCTGGTGGCCCTGCTTTCCATCCAGCTCCCTGCTCGTGGCCTAGGAAAGCAGTAGAGCACCACTCCAAGCACTGGGTCCCTGCATCAGTGTGGGAGACCTGGAAGCAGGCCCAGGCTCCTGGCTCCAGCTCAGCTCAGCTCAGCTCTAGCCGTTGTGGCCACCTGGGAGAGTGAATCAACAGATGGAAGATCTTCCTCTCTGTCTCTCCTCCTTTGTGTATATCTGACTTTCCAATAAAAGTAAATAAATAAATAAATATATATATGCATATATAAATTACTTTTAACATTTCAGTTTATCTTTGATGTCCAATCCATGCTTCCACATCCTCAGTAAATCAGGAGTTGGCTATTTAGGAAGGGCTAGTAAGACAAAGAATACCAAAATGCTGTGAGGAAACAGCTTCAGTTCACTAATAAAATTTTCTATTCTTCTATTTTCTGAGTTCCTCCAGGGACAAAAGATCTGTAACATTTGGGTCTTACCTTTTGCTATGTCCAGGAAAGTATCTGATGTATTTGTTGTCATGCAAGGACAGGTAACGAATAGTATCTGTAAGAACACAAATAAGGTATGATGTTGCACTATTCACCTTACATTTTCATCATGAAAAGAGGAAGTGAACAAAACACACTGTATTCCAAAACCCGGACTGGATGTGAATAAATAGTGACTGATTCCTCTCTGCAGTTGAAGAGGAGACAATCGACTTCACATAACTCAAAAGCAGGTGACAGTATACACACGGCAGTGCTCACAATTACTCTTTTACTGCCAGTCTTTGCTTTCTTCATAATTACAATGTAACTTGCCCTGCCAACTTCCCCCCACCCCACCTCCTACTCCCCTCTGGCAACAGTTTCAATTTTCCCCAGGGTTCTCCAACAGTAATGTAGACCTACCTAACCACCACCCGAAATGTTTAACTGGATACACAATTTACATAGAAACTGAACAAAATGGAGAATGTAGTAATGTTGAAAGTTGAATAGGAAAAGATCTTTAAGAAAAAAAAATCAAACTCACTGAATATACCAACAAGTCAAAGCAACTAGATTATAACAACATCAAGGGAAGGAATAATAGTTTTGTGTCAGGGGAAAACAAGACAAAATGATTCTTTATGAAAAAGTCAAAAGATGGTGGTGGTGAAGCAAAGTTCCATAAAGTAGGAGCACTATGCTAAAAAGATAAGAAACAAACAAAAGCTGCTAAGAAAATAGGAAATAGTATAAAATGCAAAGACATCAAACATTCTGAAGGCAAACAGAACCCAGGAATAAATAAACAGAAAGCAGCTAGCATTTTATAAGGGTGGTTTCTAAAGAGGGCATTTAACCTGGGAGAGGAAAATGAGCATTTCTCCAACCACAATTCTTTGAAAGCCTCTGCAAACTTCTTCAAGGCAATACAAAGGATTCCTAGTTCTTCTGGTGCTGCAATGACTCACCTGCCCTAAGAAGCAAAGCCTTCTTTCCCATTACCTGGTTTCCAGAGATGAGCAGGGCGTCGCCATCCTCTCCGCCCCACTGGGTAGCTGGCGCGCTGTTCCTGGCAAGGCAGTGGCCTGTACAGTTATCTCCTGTACCGGGGTGGTATCATAGACCCTCAAACTGTACAAACTACTACCTCAGCCTGGAATCAGGCAAAAGGAAATGGAGCGCTGGAGGAACTCTTCAGGATGCACTTGAGATGGGAAAGGCAATGTCCTGACAGCACAGTCCTGGTAGCAAAGCTCAAGTGCCACGTATTTGCCGACTCCTCATTCAATTACTCAGTAAAACAGCCCAACAGAAGATATAGACCAGTCATTCCAGTAATCATATACACATGTTCCTCAGGACCCTAACAATTTGCATTCCTGTCCAACAGCATCAACCTCACTGCTTATTAGTCAGAAAAAAGTAGCAGAAACAATATACTTACAAAAAAAATCAAGTAGCAGAAACAATATGCTTACAAAAAAAATCAAATACAGGCAGGGAAGTCTCAAAAAAGACTCCTGCCCATCTGCTAAAAAACAGACATTGCCAAAATAGTAGTCTAAGTATTTCCTTGTTGAATGACACTAGAAAAAAAAAATTCATACTGCAAAAAGTGGAGCAATTAATAAACCAGCGAGAGAAGTTGAGGGGAGTAGGGAAGGCAGAACCCCAACCGGAATGTTACTTGCTGTAGTTCCATTATCAAGATGGGTCATCTGTTCATTTACAAAGATTTGTCCCAGGAGGAAAGACAAGTAAAAACAGATCATTGCTTTAAAAAAAACTCACACAAGCTTAATTTCTAAAAATAACTTTCACTCTGAAAATAAAAAAGGGAGTGGCCACTGTGATACAGGGAGATGAGACAGAGTTTGAGACACCCAGGATCAGTGCTGGAGTGGCTGAGTCGAGCCCTGGCTACTCCATTTTTCCAATGCAGCTGGCTGCTATAGTGCCTGGGAGGCAGCAAATAAATGGTGTCAAGTATCAGGTTCCCGCCACCCCTGGGGGAAACTTGGATGGAGTTCCTAGCTTCCAGCTTCAGCCTGGCTTGGCCCAGGCTGTTATGGACATTTTGGGAATGAAACAGCAGACGGAAGACCACGATTTCTGTGTCTCTCCCTCTGCCTTTCAAATATATAATCTTTGAAAATAAATCAATAAAAAGGGACAAAATGCAGATATTATGAACTAATCCCTGGAATAAAAAATGACTACTGTCAGTACACTATCCTCTATGACACAGCTCATAAAGCACTAGGTATACACTAAAACCTTCCTTAAATTACTGTAGTTCAAGTATTTGAGAAATCTTTCCTTAGACTTACACACATTTTGAATAGAAAGGTCCTATTTACAACTTGCTGTGTCTCAAGCAGTCTTTCATTTTCTTTTGTTCTGAAAGTATCCACTCAAGTTTCAAGAAGTACAAGCCATAAATGCAATTTAGCTGTTTCCTTTTTCCACTCTCCACACTAGGCTGGAGACTTCATATTCAGTTCAATCCTTCAAAAGTGCTGCTGGCTTGTTCCCAGCATTCTATCAGTCATCATGATGCAATTATCATTACTACATTATGGGAGAATAACTCAACCAGAAGTCACAAAGATTCCATCAACTATTTAACGAAATAAACCATAACCAACCATAACACCCTAAAAAGGTTTACTTACCATCTATTTTGTTTGAGCTGTAAACAACAGTATTTGCTGCATGAGTATATCTGATGAGATCCACACCATACTTCTTACTGTACAAGGTTCTCTTTGGTCTGATGAGGAAATGGGCAGAGAAAGAAAACCATCAAAATCCTCCATCATTGGGACAGGCATTATGGTAATATAAATGAAGTCCCTGCCTGGGCTGTCCACCTCCCATGTTAGGGCTCCAGAGCCAGGGCTGCTAACTGCTAATGCATCTTGGGAGGCAGTGAATGAAGGCTCAAGTGCAAGTTCCTGCTAACCACATGGAGATGCAGACGGAGCGCTGAACTCCTACTTCCTTGTTTGACTTATCCAAGGCCTAGCTGGTGCAGGCATTTTGGGCTGTGAATCAGTGGATGGAAAATCTCTAATAGATTAAACAAAACCTCCATCACCAAATCTGGTATCACCATATAAAGTACCTGAATGATGTGGCAAGGGTGAGAATTTTTGGTCAGGAGTGAAGCTAGAAAACAACTTCTTCCAAAACACAGGAAACAAGAATCAAACACAACAACCATCCAAAGATGACTTTCACTTTGGAATATCCATTGCCATTATCAGAAATAAAAGGCTTAATTCAATTTTCACTATATTGTTTGAAAATAGGCTGTGTGAAAAAGGAAAGCACAGCTATTTGGGAAGAAAGGCACACATAAGTCTTTTTAAATTAAAGAGCAGAGGCACCTCCGAGTCCCTGCTGCTCCACTTCGGATCCAGCTCCTAGGTTATTACTCTGGGAAAGCAGTGACAATGGATGGCCCAATTCCTTGGGCCACAACACTCAAGTGGGACTCTTGAAGGAAGCTCTAGGCTCTTGGCTTCAGACCAGCTCAGCTCTGCCTTCTGTGGCTATTTGAGTGAACCAGTGAATTGAAGAGGAGCGCTTTCTCTCGCCTCTGTAAATATTGCCTCTCAAGTAAAAATGAATAAATTAAAAAACAAAGAGTGACAAGAGTGCAACAAGTACAGAAGCTTTCTTTTATTTTTAAAAGATTTATCTCTTGGGCCCAGTGTGGCAGCCTAGCAGCTAGTTCTCACCTTGCACACACTGGGATCCCATATGGACACCAGTTCTAATCCTGACGGCCCCACTTCCCATCCAGCTCCCTGCTTGTGGCCTGGGGAAGGCAGTTGAGGATGGCCCAAACCCTTGGGACCCTGCACCTATGTGGAAGACCCAGAAGAGGCTCCAGACTCCTGGCTTCAGATTGGTGCAACTCTGGCCACTAAGGCGCTTGGGATATGAATCATCGGATGGAAGACCTTCCTGTTTGACCTCCACTCTGTATTACTTTTTATTGGAAAGGCAGACTTATAGAGATAAAGATCTTCTAACCACTGGTTTGCTCCCCAAATGGCTGCAATGGCTAGAGCTAAGCTGATCTGAAGCCAAAAGCTGCTTCTGGGTCTCCCATCCTGGTGCAGGGTCCCAGGGCAAGAGGGGTTGGGCACAATGATTTGGGTTCCTTTCACATGACTTGGGAGACCCAGACCGAGTGACGGGTTGCTGTAGGCATCTGGATTGAACAGCAGACAGAAGATGTTTTTGTTTTTGTCTCTTTCAAATAAAATGAAATAAAATGAAGTAAATCTGGGGCCAGCACTGTGGCACACCAAGGGAATCCATTGCTTAATATGCCGACATTCTTTTGAGTCCTGACTACCCCAATTTATCTTTTTAAATATTGATTTTTATTTTTGGAAAGTCAGATATACAGAGAGGAAGATTTTCCACCCACTGATTCACTTCCCAAGTGGCCCAATATCTGAAGGTGAGATGATCTGAAGCTAGGAGCCAGGAGCCTCCTCTGGGTCTCCCACAGCAGTATGGTGTGTGCAAGGCAAGGACTTTAGCCGCTAAGTTACTGCACTGAGCCCCAGACTATCCATGTAATCCAGCTTCTTGCTAGTGTGCCTGGAAAGGCAACAAAAAAAAGTATTGGGCCACTGCCAATAAGATGGAGCTCCTTGTCCCTACCTTTGGCCAGGCCCATCCCTGGCTGTTATAGCCATGAGGGAAGTGACCGAACAAATGAAACATGTCTCTCTCTGTGTCACTTTGCATCTCAAAAGGTTAAAACACACACACACACACACACACTCAATCCAAAACTGTTACAATACTACTTAAATCAGAGAAAATAGATTCTTTAAACTCCTGATTATCAATGAAAAACTAGATGAGAAAGTCAGAACTCTTCAACATGCAGGACCTGTCACAGTACCCTAGTGACTCAAGTTCTTGCCTTGCATGCATCAGGATCCCATCTGGGCACCAGTTCATGTCCTGACTGCTCCACTTCCCATTCGTCTCCATGCTTGTGGCCTGGAAAAGCAGTCCAGGATGGCCAAAAGTCTTGGGGCCCTGTATCTGCATAGCAAATCTGGAAGAAGCTCCTGGCTTCAGACTGGCTCAGCTCTGGCCATTGTGGCTGCTTAGGGAGTGAATCATCAGATGGATTATCTTCTTCTCTGTCTCTCCTCCTCTCAGTATATCTGACTTTACAATTTAAAAAAATATATTTCTAAAAGAAATCTCCTTTCCCTCCCCCAACAACAAAAGAGAAGTTCACCTTCTCAATGTAAAATCATCTTGGAACCTAAACAATTAAGATAATTCAGGCAGCCCTAGGAAACCAATTACTTGAACTTTAAACTTTTTCGATGTCAGTGAGACCCATGGCTTCTTATATAAAGCTTATTTCCAAATAAGACTTCTTAGTACAAATGCACTGAATTTTCCATTCTTGCCTTTACTTGAATACTAAGATCAGCAAATACTATCTTGTCAAATCTACTCTAGGATTCTGCTATGGGGTTACTACAGGATAACAGTGAGAGTTGCGTGAGACTGAGTGTTAAGTGTGTGCTTGCTCTGTAAGATCTATGGAAGTTGAACCAAGTATTTCAGCATATTTACAATGGCAAAGGTAGAACCTGAAGACCTAGTGTTGAAAGGTATGTTGTAAGAAAAAGTTAGATCAGGCCCGTATGTCTGTTAATTTATCAGCAACACTACCCTGTGTTCCAAACGACAACAATCTTACTTCATGTCCTTTGCTAGTTTAAACGCAAAATCCTGTGGGCAATGGTTCACGTCCTGACTTCCTGGCTGTTCCACCTCCCAGCTTGTGGCCTGGGAAAGTAGTGGAGGATGGCCTAAAGCCTTAGGACTCTGCATGTATGTCGGAGACCTGGAAGAAGTTTCTGGCTCCTGATCAGTTTAGCTCCAGCCAGTTGTTTCAGTCACTTGGTCTGTCTCTCCTGCCTGAAAAATCTGCCCTTCCAAAAAAAAAGATCCTATGTATTACATCCTTTTAAAATCGAAAAGCAACATTTTCAAGTATTTTGTTAAGTATCTTCTCTCAAACTACGATTCTGGTAATTAAATATGAATTTAAAAAATACTAAAGCATCACCTTGAGTAATTTATATTGCCTATCATAAGCAATATTCTTTATATTCTTTAAATTTAATTTACTTTTGGAAAGCCAAATTTACAGATAGGGAGACAGAAAAAAAAATCTCCATTTCATTGGTACACTCCCCAAACGGCTGCAACGGCCAGAACTGAGCTGAGCTGATTCAAGCCAGTAGCCTAGAGCCTCCTTCAGGTCCCAAAGCTTTGGGCTGTCCTTGACTGCTTTCCCAGGCCACAAGCAGGGAAATGGATGGGAAGTGGAGCTGTTGGGACATAAACCAGCACCCATGTGGGATCCCAGCACTTGAGAGGAGAGGAATAGCCAACTGAGCCATTCCACCAGGCACTAAATTCCTTTAAGTTGACATTTCACTCAATGGACAAACTCTACTATAAAGTTTAAATGAAAAAATGGGAATTAAAAAAACAAATCTTGCTTTAGTCCCTATACCTTACAAAGAAACATGATTCTCTGATGTTGACCTACCCTGGTGGCAGAATTATTCTTCACATTAAAATTTCAACTCGTAGAGACTAACACCCAGTGGAGTGACCTGACCAATGACTGATTCCTGGTCACAAAGCCCAAATTAGAACCCAGCTCTCCTATCAGACCATTTACTCGCCAGAGAGCACAAGTGAGAACTGACCAAAGAAAAATCAGAACAACCTGCCCCAGAGCATCAATCTTAAAATTTCCAATTTGGGTAACTGGATTCTGGTGATGAAGGAGAACATCTTTGTGTTTAGGAAATTCACAAATATTAAGGAATAAAGCACCTTGATAGCTCCCACTCACCCTCCAATGTTTCTGGGGGAAAAAAAAACAATCCATACATAGAATTACTTCTTTACAGAGTGATAAAGAAAATGGGGAGAAATGTAACAAGTTTCTAGATGATATGGGAGTTTTTTCAAACAGTGTTGCAGTTTTCTGTATATTTGTAAGCATGTAAAAAGGCTGCTCAGTGCCCAGCATGATGGCTCAGTGGCTAAATCCTCGCCATGCAGGAGCCAGGATCCCATATGGGTGCCTGGTGCCTCCACATCACATCCAGCTCCCCACTCATGGTCCTAAGCCTTGGGACCCTGCACCCACGTGGGAAACTTGGAAAAAGCTCTTAGCTCTTGGCTTCGGATGGGCTCAGCCCTTGCAGTTGTGGCCACTTGGGAAGTGAACCAGTGGATGGAAAATCTGTCTCTCCTTCTCTCTGTAAACATACCTTTCCAATATAAACAAACAAACAAACAAAAAGGATGCCCAAATGACTAAGCTGCCTTATGTCATAAAACTGGCTGTTACTTTTAACTGGACTTGAAGCCACTGTCATTCTTCCCAACAAGTTGTAACTGCCACATTTGGAAACAAACTAATGAAATGCTAATGAAAGGTTCAGGCAACCTTTATTTCTTAGCAGAGAAGTCACACATCTCTGCCCTGGGGCTCCCTGGTGGAGATTCTAATCAGTGCACATGCAATAAATTATCTCAAGGTAGCAACTTCAAATTACTTCTAGCTCCACAACTCTCACCTGCCTCCCACCTGTCCCCAGCTTCAAGCTTCAAGCAATACTCCTTCCCGAACAGATTCCAGAGGTGGCCTAGGTCTGGAAACCTATCTACTAACTCAAATAACTGCCAAGTAACTAAAGATTACCCGGTATCCAAGGATCCAAATGGCAGCCTATCCCCCATATGCTGCAGGCGGATCCCCAGCCAGGTACGGAATAGTTTCTCACAGACCACGTGGGGAAAAGAATTCAGCCTTACTTTAGATCATCAAAATCACAAAGAGCTAAGTTCTACAAGAGTATCCTTTTTTCAAGGAAATTTTTAAAAATCTAGGATTCAAAAACGATGCACTGGGTCTAAGTAACAGTCTGACAAAACGAGTAGCCACGGAATTACACCAACCATCCTCAGGCCTGCTAGAAAGTAATGAGGAGTGAGGTAAGGCTGCCAGGGTCCCCGGGGAAAAGGCAGAGCCACGCGCTGCTTTTCAGATCTTCGCAAAGGGATGCTGGTGTAGTGGGTTTCCCCGCGACCTTTGGCAACCACAAAGTTTCACGAGAAAGGGAATTTTGATCACTCCATGCGGGACGTAAACTGAGTGTTGGGGGGGAGGGGCGGTGTGTGTGGGAGAGTGAGCAGCACAGAACTGTTCCCTGACGCTTTGTTTTACCGCGAGCTCTCATTTGGATCGGGATGGAACTCCGCCAAGTTCATTTGTGGACGGCAAAAAGAAAAGTTTCCGATGTTTTTTTACCAAGTTCACTAAAACGCGCGGGCTCCGGGCCTGCAGAACTTGGGGAGGGTATGGCGGGGAGGTGGGGTGGGGAGGGAAGGATTGGAAAAGAAAGCAAAGGCCCGTGCGGGCTCCAAAGATGCACGGCACATAAACCGTGACAGCTAAGGACCCCCAACGCTGCGGAGCGGCAGCAGGAAAAGGCCGGCCGAGGCGGAGGGGCAGGGACAGGCCGGGCGCGGTGCCAGGGCTGAATCGAGGTCACCGCGCAGAGGGCAGGGAGCGCGGCCGCCGGCGGCCGAGGCTGCACGGCCAGCACTCCCCTGCAGCTCTGCGTCGAGGCCAGGGCCCGCCAGCACCCTTGACAGTCTGCGGGAAGGAGGCAAAAGCCGTCAGCTGGGCTCAGGAAGGGCCGCCACGGCGTTTAAAGGTCAAGGTCAAGGTGGGGTCTGGCAAGCGATGCATTAGTGCCCAGAGGAGCACGAAGACGCTACCAAAAAAAAAAAAATTTTTTTTCATGCTGTGATCACGGTGACTACCATTATTATTTGGAAAGGAAAAGGTGTGCCGACGGGCAAGTGGCGCCACGGGCTGAGGGGCGCAGCGCGGGGCCAGCGGAGGGAGGGAAGGACCGAGCCCCGGGCCCAGGGCGCCGCCGCACTCACTTGCCCTCCTGGCAGTCATACAGCACGATGGAGTCGTCGTCGCTGCTCGAGATCACCGTCTCGCCGTTGGGGCTGAAGTCAAAGCAGTTAATCTTGTCAGAGTTCTCACGGAACACCTTGGCGACGCGGAAGCTCCGCAGCACGCTGTCGGTGAGCTTCATGGCGGCGGCTGCTGGAAGCCGCGGCGGCGCAGGGCCGGGGCGGGGCCGGCGGCGAGCGGGCGGGCGGGCTCGGCAGGAGCCGACCCGGGCGGGGCGGGCGCCGCGCTGGCGGCCGGCTGGCGGCCTGCCTCTGGCTCTTCCTCCTCCTCTTCCTGCTCAGGCACGGTTTTGCTGCCTAGATCGTGGGCCCTCGCGGACCGTTCCCCCTCTCGCTGTCGCCTCAGGGACAACCGGCGCGACGCCGGCTCATTGTGTCCGCCATCTTGAGGCGACCCGCAGAACAAGCCGAGGATGAGGTGAGGAAGGGTGGGAGGGGGAGAGAGGAGGAGAAAAGGCCTCGGCGCGGCGCACGCCGGGAAAAGGGGGCGGGGCGGGAGCCGCGGCGCGAGGCGGGGAGGCGGGGCGGTGACAGCAGCGCTGCCGCGGCCGAGGGAGGTGACAGTCCCCGTCGGCGGGCTGAAGGGGGCTTGAAGGAGCCGTGGCGTTCACGGACCTTCCCCGGTGGACGAGAAGACCAGGGTGTGCCTGGGAGCTAGTGAAGCTAGTGACCTTTCGCGTCGCGACTGCCATGTTTCCGGAGACTCGTCTGGTCCAGACCGCAGGCCTCAGGTGGTTCTCTGTGTGGTTCGGTTTGGGAAGCCCCTACTCCTAAATGCCTTTGGTGTGCGGGACTTTTATCCAGCCTTAGGCCCGCGCCCTCAGCTTGCAACGCCTTATATCTCCACTTGAATGAGGGCAAGGCAATAACCTGTCAAGATTAAGGCACTCCGTTGAGGGAGTGCTGCACCTGTAGCCCCACGAGACCCCCGCATTGGGAGTCAGAATTCAGTGGTCAACATTCACACCAGGCTCACACCATTTTGAAATGCTTCGTGCATCCCAGCCCTGAGTCCACAGGGATAACCAACCACAGGCAAGCAGGGTGCGCCCACGGTGCGGTCTGGTCGCAGCATTCACAAAAGGTGGACTTGGCTGCCAATTGCTAACTGAAAGAAGGCTGGGAGCACCGCGTGCAACCAGACAACCCCAGGACCTGATCGTACCACCTCAGTCCCAACTCTACAGATGCACCATTTTAGGGGACCATAATCTGGCAGTGGCAAAAGCAGATTGCTAAGAGTTGGTATCTTCCTCCAAAGCACCAGGAGCTCTGGTGAATGTGAGAGGAGAGCCAGAACACACACACACACACACACACACACACAGTTCCTTTGAGAAGAGTGGATGATGCTGGCTAAGGCCCTATTGCAATCCCCCCCCCCCCTAAAAAGAGCCAACCTCTGCCTGTAGATGTGTCTGTGGTCTGGAAAAAAGTCCATTTGAGTTAAACCTAAATGAGTGGCAAATTTCCAAACTGCAAAGCAATGGAAGAAAAAGGCCTCTGCCCCATCACCCCCATAGCGCTGTCTCGCTTCCCTGTAATCCCCATGTCTTTACGTCAGAAGCCAGAGTAGCTGATATATACTGTGCATATGCAGTATTAAAAATCAACAAGTAGTAAGCTATTTTAGAACAGATGGCTATTGTGAGCTAAGTGAAGCCATTGGGAAGCAGCTGATGCAGTTTCAGTACTGTAATGAATAAGTTCGGTAAGACCTTAACCTGCCACTGTTCTGGCTTAGCCGTTAGGAAGAAAAACAATGAGCTGTTTTGCATAAAAATTTGTTTTGATGACGGTATGGAAGGAGGAGAATTTCCGAGCACCCCAGAGCTCTCTTGGCAGGTAAGCCTCCACACTGAGTCTCTGGGCTGGAAAACCGCCTGCTCAGGCACCCATTCCAGTAAGAGCAGTGTCTTTGTTTTGGTTCCTTGCCAGCTGGTTTTGGGCACTCACAGCTATGCCCATGCCCCAGCATTAGAAGCCAGGTATCCTTAACCCGTGTGCACCAAATCCGAAAGCTAGTTGTCCTCAGCGAGAGGACAGCATTCCAGAGCTCCTGGACCAGGACTGCCCCAACCCTGCCTGCTGTATTTGTGGAGTGACTGTCTACCGCAACTCCTGTATTCCCCGCACACACTGACCATCTGCAACTTGGGCTGGTTCCTTAACTAAGGCAATATGTCCAAAACTGTTTCTGAGATTCCTCTGCCTCCCTCCCCCTTGACAATGTTACTTGGATTGTGTGGTACAGCAGAAGTATGCTGGAAGACTGGGTCTTCTGCTCTCCAAGAACCCATACTTATAGTGGCTGGTAGTCTTGGGTGATGCTTGGAAAGCTGCCATTTGTGGAGACCCCAGCGTGGACACCTGAGGAGTGCCACCAGGGTGAGTCCCACTAACGTACAGGAAGGGACTATACTGTGGCTCTGCGCCTCGGCACTCCTGACGGCTTGCAACGGGGACAGATTTGGGGCCACATTCCTGGAGCCATTGGGAAGTGAACACACCAGAAAGTACCACATTTTGATCCATGTTTACCTACAAAAATGTGCCACAGAAGCAACCACGACCTACTATACGTTGTCAGCTGAAAGAAATCTTTGCCCAGCGTCTCTGAAGTGTTCTACTCACTCTACTCTGCACTTTCTAGATTTCACTGTTAATTCCAAAGATTCCTGAGACTTGACTTCCAGCGTTGTTGTTGGGATGTGAAAAGTTGTTGTTCTGGTTCTGGAGCAGTAGCCTAGCAGCTAAAGTCTTTGTCTTAAATATGCTAGGATCCCATATGGGGGCCAGTTCATATCCTGGTGGCCCTGTTTCCCATCCAGCTCCCTGCTTGTGGCATAGGAAAGCAGTCAAGGACGGCCCAAAGCCTTGGGACCCTGCACCCGTGTGGGAGACCTGGAAGAGGTTACTGAGTCCTGGCTTCGGATCGGCGCAGCACCAGCCATTACAGTCACTTGGGGAGTGAATCATCAGATGGAAGATCTTCTTTCCTGTTTCTCCTCCTCTCTATATCTGACTTTGTAATAAAAAATAAATAATTTAAAAAAAAAAAAGGAATGAAACTTGGCTTCAAAAAAAAAAAAAAGCAAAATTTGGCCCGTATGGAAATAAGACATTCTCTGTTTGCAGATTTTGTGAAAGTTCTGTGCACTCACTGACTAGGTTCTCTGGATGGCTGGGTCTGTGCCAATAAAAACGGCATCTGTGCGAGGGAAGAAAGGTTTTAGATAGCAAAACTAAGAACAACTCTCTGGCTCTGTTGGTGAAACTTCTGGCTTTCTCTGTAACTTTAATCTTATTTGAATTTCCAAGGGATAACACACATGTTCAACTTACAAAATAACGTTTTAAGAGAAATCATTTAAACCAAGGAAGATGATTGATATTCAGTCCTTACCTCCTGAGTTCTGAACAGCAGCCTATGTGGTTATTCCCCTTGAGAGCATTGTTTTGAACCAGAATCTGTGGCAAAACTAAGAAAAACAGACCTCTCGTGTGTGTGTGTGTGTGTGTGTATTTAAAATTATTCATGTAATTCTTTTGTATTAAAAATTTTTCATCTTTATTTGAAAGACAGATTTTTAAGAGAGAGAAGGAGATATAGAGAAGGTCTTCCTACCTCTTCACTGCCCAAATGGCCACAATGGCCAGAGCTGAGCTGATTTGAAACCAGGAGCCAAGAGCCTCCTCTGGGTCTCTCACGTGGTTGGCAGGGGCCCAAGCATTTGGACCATTTTTCTCTGCTTTCCAAGGCACATTCATTGGCAGGGAGCAGGATTGGAAGTAGAGTAGCTGAGACTGGAAATGTTGCTTTTTGTAAGATGCTGGTGTCACAGGTGATGGCCTTACCTGCTATACCATATCGCTAAAACCTTGGAGTGTATCTTTCATATATATTATATATATGTGTGTATATAATGTATTTTATAACATAATAAATAAGTTATTTATTTAAAGGGCACTTGGAGAGACAGAGATCTTTGATCTATTGGTTTACTCTCCAAATGGCCACAAGTACTTAGGGGTCCAAGTTAATATATTGAAAGTGGACGTGGTGGCAGCCATAACGTAAAGTTACGCTGTTGCTTGGGATTCCCATAGTAAAGTGCCAGTTCAATTTTTGGATACTCTATTCTGAGCCTACCTTCCTGAGGGTGGAGATGATAGCCCAAGTACTGGACTGTGTAATGCATGGGATACCCAGAAGGAGTTCTCATCTCCGCCCAGCTGTGGCCATTTAGGGAGTGAACCAGTGGATGGAAGATCTCTGTGGCACTCAGTGTTTCACAGATGAAACAAATGAAAACAAAAAGGTGTTTAAAAGGTAAAACTAAAAATTAAGTTGAAGCTATGTTAAGTAATTTATACTCTTGCTAAAACAGCTCCTTAGGCATTTTAACTAGGATAAATTTTTGAGCCGGAGCGTGTGTGTTATCAGTAGGGCTTTCCTAAGCTTGACTGTCTTCTTGCAGGAGCCGGCAGAGCAGAACAACAGGAATCAGGTGACTTTCTTCTTGGTGGAGGCCGTGCCTGTGCCTGTGTAAGCTTAATTGCCCAAGGGGGAAAAGAAGAATGTTGGAACACAGTTGCTACAGTGGTAATTGTAGCTAATATGTTTCAGTTATCACACATACTTCACCTATCACCACTTCATTCCTGACAAATTGCTTGCTTGCCTTGTTAAATTAAGGTTTTATTTCACTCTGCACCAAAAAAGCAATGTTCTATGATGGCAATGAGCGCAGGAAATATTTTATATCAATTTGAAGTCCCACCCCTATGATCAAACTATATAAGCTTAAAAACATTTTAGAAGATATGGCACAGGACGCCTGCCGCCTGCATCCTGTATCAAAGTCCCCACCTGCTTTCAGTGCTGGTTTCCTTCTGATTCCAGCTTCCTTAATGCTGACCTGTGGAGGTAGCAGATAATGGCTCAAGTAGTTATTCCTGCCACCTATGTGGAAGACTCTAGATTGAGTTCTGGCTCCAGATGTCAGCCAAGCCTAGTCTCAGTTTTTATCGGTATTTGGGGAGTAAGTCGATGGATAGATTTCTGTCTTTCAACTGGAAAATATTCTAAAAAAATTAGAATATTTTGTTATGATGATTGCAAAGAAGCAGTGGCTGATTTTCTACAGCTTATGTCACTCTGGAATGGCTGTTAGTTTCCTCCAGG